ACTGTTAAGGGATAGGAAGGGTAAGGTCAAAGATTTTAACCTTATGATTTTGTAAAAACTTCACCACAGATGAAGGAAATAGACGGTGGAGACAGCTTGCAGCACCAAGGTGAAAAATCCTCAAAAACTTCCGCGAAAGCCGCTGAAGATCTCAAAAATCTCTGAAAATTCCCTCACCCTATCTCTACCCCTATGCACAACTGTGAAATGTGATTCCCATAAGCTCCTCAGGAAGTTTCCATGAATCTCACAATCTGCCCATGGGTCTGGCTGTGGAAAAAAAATGGCTTTATCTTTTCTGCCTTCAAATTTCATGCAGGTTTCTCTCATTGCAGACTTGTTTAAACAAGAACTCTACTGAGATGGACCTGGAGGAATGTGCTTCTCATCTTTTCATCTGCAAAGCAGATTCCAGAAGGGAAGAGTGATAATGCTGAGTTAAGGTCAGGTAGACCAGCCCCCACAGAAAACCCAGTACCTGCACACAGCAGGGCTTAATAAGTGGTGACTATCATCACCATTCAGAAAGCAGCAGGGATATTGAGCAAGCACTTAACTTCATAGTGTCTAAAACCCCTTTATTTCCTCCAGAATTTCTGTCTACTGCCCAGCCTTGCTTTGCTGAAACCAAATCTGTTGTACTGCAGCCAAAGAAGTCACAGTCCTAGAAGACAGCTGCTGAATAATTCATTGGTACTCGAAAATTGTACAAAGGGACTTACTGATTAGTGGTAACCTAACCTATAATTAATCACCCTAACCAATGGATAATCCTAGCATAAAAGTGACACTTGAGGTCTAGTCCTGGATTTAGTGCTAGTGACTATGATTTTGTAAAAACAACTAAACTTTCTCATTAACTGTTCTATTAAATAATTGTAATACTGAGAAAAGCACACCATCTCTTGGGGGTTCTTTCTAAGAATGCATCTCCACAATCTAAACAAGAGAAAAAGGATGAACCCAAATGAAGGGACATTCTACAGAAAAACTAGTCCGTATTCTTCTGAATTGTCAAAGGTTAGGAAAAACCAAGGAACTATCAGATTTGGGGAGTCTGAGGAGACATGACAACTAAACGCCACATAGAATTTTGGATTGAATACTAGAAGCAGAAAAGGAATGTTAGTAGAAAACCTGGTGAAACACAAAGGTAGTCTAGACTTAACAGTATTGTACCCAAGTTTAAGTTCTGAGTGCTGATCATTGTGCCATGGTTATATAAGTTGGTAACATCAGGGAAAGCTGAATGAAGTGTATATGGGAACTCTCTGTACCATGTCTGCAACTATTCTTTAAGTACAAACTTATTCCCAAGTAAAAAGTGAAAAAATAAACATTTAAATAATATCAAGAGAAAATTAACTATTTCGTACTGGGCCTGCAAATTATGTAGCCAGTCCTGTGTGGAAATATGATATACAGAGAATGGCACAAAACCCATTTCTTGAAATATAATGAAGCAACAGCAAAATGATTCCAATGAGCCTGAAAGGATCTTGGAAGGAACAGAGGTGAAAGCCACTCAATCCAAATGGCTCAGGCCAGGAATATAAGAATGGCTTTGGGTGAGTGGCTAAAGACCACATGAGACAAAGGTACATCTCAGCTGATGATGGCTAAGGAAAATGATAAGAATCTGACTCTAAAACCTCTACACACTTTGGCATTGTATAAGATCCCTAAAACTTCAAAGCAAGTATGGAAAGATGAAATCACTCATCCATTGCTATTCTACCAAACCTACCTCCATCCATGCCATGGGTTGTTTCCTTGTCTTCCAAGAGAAATCAAAAGCCTCAAATGACCAAGGTTAAGTTTCTACTCCCAGTGCATGGTTCCTCAAAATAGAAATTAAGTTGTTACAGAAAACTAAAGTTATGCTTCCAGCCCACCTGTGTCTGTACACTGAGATTTGTACCTGTCACCCAGTGACCTTCCAAATGATTTTAAACCCCATTTAGTCCCATCCTTCCAGATGTGGAACACCTATAAAAACTTATAGTATATAATAGACAATTATACACTATGAAATAATATTATAATAAGAATGTATTTATATATATTAATTAATATCATAAATAAGCTCTAGATTGATTGGCAATATTTATGTACCTGTGTTGATTTTGTTGATATATTCACAGAATCGAAAACTTGAGACTTAATGGGTTAACTAATTCCTTGAGATTACCAATTGGTCCATCTCACAGGAGATGGGCAGATAATTTTCAGCATAGTATAAAAGGTCATGAAAATTTGCTTGTTCTTGCTTATCAAGAAAGAAAGCAAACATTCTAGCTAGTATCACATCTATGAAATTGGCTGAAAATGTTATTAATAAAAAAACACTGTAGATAACATTCGTAAAGCTTCCGTAAAATGAGCTCATTTTTAAAAAACTGAAGCATCAGTAGAAAGAGCAATTCAAATGTTTATTGATGATATTTATTTGAAAGACAAATGTTGAAGATAAGTGTATTCATCAAAAGCAAGTCATATTAACAGACATTTATTGGGCTAACACAATAACAGGATTAACCTAAAAATTTTTGAAGACATTGAGGGTCCAATTTAATTTAAAATAAAATGAAAATATCATTATGAAATCTGTTTTGCTCAATCAAATGTCATTCTAAAAGATGTTATGTGATCATTATGTTTCAAATCATGGGAACTGTTTTGAACACTTTTTTTTTTCCAAATAAAGGGCATTATTGGGATTAGGAATATAGCTCAGTGATACAGTGCTTGCCTAGAATATGCAAGGCCCTGGGTTCCACCCCAGTATCACAAAAATAATTTTTAAAAACTAAAATAAAGGGTATTCTAAACTGTGCCATTCAACACAGCCACTTTTTAATTGTAAATTTATTGTGTATTTAATTTTAAACTTCGGTTAGTTAAGATTGAATAAAACTTTAAACTTAGTTCCTCTCATCAGCCACGTCTCAGGTGCTCAATAGCTGCATGTGCCTGCTGACTACCACACTGTATAATGTAAATTTATTTAATTTTTAGTTTCTCATTATATATGTTTCCATTTTTGTGGAAAGTTCTATTAGACAGGGCTGCTCTAAGTAACTTACACAAGCAGTCACCATAATAGAGCTAATCACATAAATCTTGAAAAATGTTTGCAAATGTAAAATTTTGTTTTTGTGGCTTTGCTTCTAGTCTGAGGAATACTTCAGCTACCAAAAAATACAACTTCAATTTGAAATCTGAACTTACAATTTGAAATTTATTCTTGCCAAATGAATAATTTTACTTTTAATTGATAAATAATAACTCTATATCCCCACCACTGGGGGAAAAAAAGGGAGAACAAAACCTTAAAAATAAATCTTTTCTTCTGGTGGGGGGTGCTGGGATTGAATCCAGGGCCTTGTTCATGCTAAGTATGTGCTATACTACTGAGCTATCTCCCCAGGCTCCTAAAATAATTCTTTTATATCTTATCTTCATAAAGTTATCCTGTATTTCACTAAAATATTCTAAAAACTGAATTTAGTTTTCAAAAGATGTATCATAGGAAAGCACAATTCTATAAATCAGTCACATAAAAGCATCTTAAAATATCTCACATCACAAAAATAAGATGTCAATTTTCCCACAAATTATAGTATGTGACCGAGTGACTGGCGGACATGATTTCTATTGAATTGCTTTCTCTATTTTATCAGAAAACTGAAGTTACTTAAGGTCAGTTAGTTTAAGTCTTACAAGGAAAAAAATTGCTTGTTAGGCTGAAAGATTCAAGATAGCATTACAATTGACAAAATATTTCTTAAACAATGAAATTACACATATTTCCTATGACTATGACATTCCAGAATTTTCTTAGGGCCAAGTGCAGTGGCACACACCTATAATTCCAAAGAGTTGGAGAGCCAAGGCAGAGGATCGCCAAGTTCAAGGCCAGCCTCATCAACTTAGCGAGACCCTCAGCAATTTAGCAAGACCCTATTTCAAAATTTAAAAAGAATTTTCTTCAAAATAAGGGATTTAGGTTAAAAATAAAGTCCTTCATGAGCAAAATGAAATTTTTAAAAATTTCCAATAGTCCCACCAATATCCTTTAAGATCACTTTTATCTAATTAAATTTCTGATCAATATTTTCTTTCATTTAAACATTGTTAAAATTTAAAGACATATGCACTCCAAATAGTAGAATCTATCAGTAAAACACGACAAACATACGAAAACCTTCACCCAGACACTTTGAAAACGAAGAATAATGTCAGTGTCTGAATTTGGTTAGATTTTTATTGTTCATAGTGACATATTCTTAAATTAAAATCACTTAGGAGGAGACGGAGAGTCCTACCTTGAGTGAACTTCTTTGACAAAAAACAATAATAATTAAAAGAATGTTATTCTTATTAAAAGTAAATCAAAAGAACATGGGTCTTGTCTCTGGAAGGCTTAGGTCAAACAAATGTGATACCAATCCTAGGATTTTGATGGATATATAAGAAAGCCACTTTGGGTGTTTTGTACATATTTAAACCATATCTCCCTTCTAAATCAGCAGAGTTCACACCTAAGCTCTGTAGTTTCAAGTCACTTGGCAAATACGGAATGTCTACTACAAAAAACTTACTAAGCAAATTGTGATTTACACCTCCAACTATAGCTCCCTACCTATCTATATGTGCTTTATTAATGCTCAGATTTTGCTTATCATTAAGTGCTAAAGCATATTATTATTGTTATGCATTCAAACAGCAAAGAGAATGATTTTTAGGGAAAAGTTTCCTACTATTCCCTCAATCAGAGATTTGTGGCAGCATATTGCCAATCACTTTGTCCGGAGACAAAACATTCATATCTTCCTACTACAATTCAGCAACCCTTGCAGGCAGAAAAAAAAGCTTGGCCATTTCTTCAGGGATAAATGCAAAACTACTTTGTTGCTATAATAGGCTAATTTGGGAATTATAACTTGGGGAACTTATAGAAAGATCTAACATTTTAAACAAAGTGGGATGGTTGATGTTTAAGTGCTTGAGTTGGTGAGGTCAGAATCTCTTTGCTCTGACTCTGTGGAAGAAGCCACTGCTGGAAACTTCTGCGATTTGGCCGTGGACTTCTTGAAGTCATGTCTAAGACTTCGGATACAGCTGTTGATGGCTGTCACACACAGCTTCCAATCATATCCAGTTTCCGATAGATCACATGTCTTATAGTTGTCCTGGAGAAACTCTGGTGGTAAAATTCCAAAACAGAACAATTATTTAAAAATCACTGCTCAGAGAAATTAATTCATTCATTTATTCACCCTTAATTCTACTGCTTTTCTTGTGTTGGGAGTCAAACTCAGGATTTCATGCATGCTAAGAATGCACTTTACCAATGAGCTATCCCCAGCCTAGGGTCTTTTAAGACTTTCACTAATTAAATCAAATGGACTACAACCATTATTAAGTAAGCTGAACAAATCTTCTAATCTAAAGGGATAATACAAAATAGTACTATCCTTAAAGCACATTTACAATAATCTCCCATGATCTTGCTCTACCTACACAAATAGAAATCTTCTACTGCTTTAAGTACCCAAGATCAAGGTTTTATTCTTTTTTTATTTTTATTTTTTAAACTGCGGATTTAACCCAGTCGTACTTAACTACTGAGCCACATCCCCAGCCCTTTTTTAATTTTGAGACAGGGTCTCACTAAGTTGCTTATTAGTGCCTTGCTAAGTTGCTGCGGCTGACTCTCCACTCAAGATCCTCCTGCCTCAGCCTCCCAAGCCACTGTGATTACAGGCATACACCACAGTGTTTGGCCCTTATTCTTAAATATATCAAACATACATCCCATTTTCTCAAATAAAGGTATTTTGTAATGTACAAGAGGCTGTGGTGTCTTCAGTCTTGGAGACACAAGAAGTTGCAACTGCTAACTTTTTTTGCTACTGCTAGATTTATCTCTGACAAAAAGAATAAGGCTTTGGGGATCTTGCAATTAGAGGAAGACTTGAATAAGAGAAGGTGAGAGAGTGATACAATTCAAGGAGCACTCTTAGAGATAAGTGGGAGGACAGACAAAGGGAAAGACAAAAGAGGTGCTTATTTAGAAGAGCAGAGTTGCCCTAGATATTTTTAGATAATTACCTCAGTGCCATTGAGCACTTAGGATAGAATCCAGTGATCTCTACAGGTTGGCATTAGTTGGTGACATAAATCTCAATTGGTTTTCAATAAGATTAATTGGCTGCTAAATCAGAACAATGCATTAAGACAGCATATCCCAATTTTTTAGCAAGGCATGTGTCAAATTTAATAAAAGGCTTTCATACCCAAAGGACTATCTGATAGGTCAATAGTAGCCTAAAAGGAAGATTTGCTGGTAGGTCACTGGATTCGGTATCAGGCTCATTAGGGAAAGGCTTATCCCATGTGCCTATGACAGCAAAGTTGGGATGGATGATTTACACACTGGAAGACAAATACAGCACTTGCAAAGCTCACTATAGGTGGCAAAGGGCCCAAATGGGTTGCTGTTTCCCAAAATGTGTTCTCTGAAACACAAGTCCTAAAAAGAAGTTTCTTGGGGAAAAGGTTCTGATTGGGCAAATGAGGAATGTGATGCTTTGGAGTTAGTCCCCACTTGGGGATTTACACTGCCCATGAGCACATTAAATGCTCTGGAAAATCACAGTCAAGATGCCTCACAGCAGCAACTTTCACTGATTGAAAGGTTATAGGTGCAGCTGTGCTGCTGGGGCACACAAATGAGGGAGGTGTCAGTGCATAAAACAACAGAGGGCCAGGACTGGGGAGACCTGCTGGGCTTGACAGCCAACGGAATTTAAAATGTGCTTTAAAACTGAGGGCCCAGCAGGGGCAGTAGCACATGCCTGTAATCCCAGCAGCTCAGGAGGCTGACTTAGGTGGATTGGGAGCTAAAAACCAGCCTCAGCAAAAGCAAGGCACTAAGTAATTCAGTGAGACCCTGTCTCTACATAAAATACAAAATTGGGCTGAGGATGTGGCTCAGTGGTTGAGTGACCCTGAGTTCAATCCCGGGTACAAAAAAAAAAAAAAAAAAAAAAAAACTGAGGGTCCACTAGATCCTTGGGGAGTTTGCCAGCTTAAAGTCTTTCCTGACCATCTAACTAAAAAGCACTTTATTCATGAAACACCCATTAACATGCAGCTGTCTTTAGGAAACACAGTTTGGGGAATGCTGACCTAAGCTGACCTAATTGAACAAAGTGTAAGAGAAATATTTGAAACACTATACTTAGGTTAAACATAGAAATAGTGGAAATGGTAACAGCCTAAATACTAACAATATAAATACTAAGTAAATGTCATTATTCAGAAAAAAAAAGACCTAGGGGTCTTAGGTGACCATAAATTTAAAAGTAGCAAATGCCATTTTAAGATTCATAGGTAATAATGCTACTGTTTCTGGGTTGATTTGAGCACATTTGAAGGCTGTTACTGAATCTGATCATGAAGAATCAGGAAAACATTTAGGTAAAGAATTACAGAAGGAAATAGTGATAGTTAACTATAAAGGCATAAGACTTAAGAAGGAAAAGATTAAGTAGAATACCTCCTCTCCAACCTTCATGATTCCATGTGGAGAGATCTCCACATTGGAAAGTCTAGAAGAATTGGACTTGTATGATTCAAGAATCAAGACTCGAAAATCATACAAGCTACTATTTTTATCTTCACCTGCTTGATTCAAGTATCTGTCTCTCACTTTGTTTTGAACTTGAAGGCACATGAAGGGGGAGGGGATATTATCTCCCAACACTCCAGCAGGAAGTAATAGCTGTCTTTAACTACTTGAAGGCCCAGCTTGTGAAGTAACTTGATTGACTTTACTGAGCTCTGGAAGCGATATCTAGGGCATGTGTGTGACTTATGGGAATTCCTGCTCTGAGAGGGATGTAGTATTAAAGGGCCTATAAAGTACTTATTGCTAAGATTTTACAGTTCTATCATACACAGACATGGAAGGAGTGAGGGCTGTTCCCCAATTGCAAATCTGTACCCTACTTTCTCCATATCAACTATTCTCTAGAGTCCTCAGGTGGTACTGAATCTCTCATGACACAGTTCCTTATATAAAATCTATGACTAGTGGACATAGTTACCTTTGACTACCATGTTCCCCCAAGATATCAAAATCTTAGGATAAGAAATGTTATTAGAATAGAAGAATAAATTGGTTTATTCACTCAATGGGATATTGATCATCAGTTAAAATGTATGAACAGGTCTCTAAAACATAAATGTTGAATGATTTAAAATATGCAAAAGAATACATACTGTATATCTCCACTTATATACATCAAAACAAATACAGAATATTATATATCATTTACGGCTCTATTAACATAGGTAGCATGAGAATAATATTTCCAACTGCAGGGCTGTGATTACTTCTGGGGAGGAAGAGAAGGAACAGGGATGATGGGCTTGAAGTCTTAATTATATCAGTAAAGCTTAATTATTTTAAAAATGTCTATATTGGCAATGGGTACACAAGGATTGATTATATTATTACATTCTTCTCTGTACATCTCAGGGTGTTTGAAATAGTTTATGATGAAGTGATATTTTCATAGATTACTTCAGAAGCCATAAGCTCAGGCCTTCCTCTAGTGCAGGCATCTCTTGTCATCTCTGGTCACTCAACCTTTGTTCTGACTCTTTCAGTTCTCCAAGTTCATTTTATACTTATATTAAAGTGAAATATGCTTTCTTGTTTGCTTCCAATCTTTGGGACTGGCTTTGCCCCTAGGGACAACAATGACTCCACTGTTTTCTTTCTGCTGAAATAACTCACGTGACTGACCTTCTACAAAGCAATAGAAGTTTTGACTTTTATGGGAAATCTGTTAATATATGCCCTATGTGAACAATATGTCAAATTCCTGCTGAATATTTTTTATTGCAGGAGACATCTTGATTTTAATAAAATTCAATAAGAGATAAGATGAAATACACAAAGAAATATTTTTCATCAATTTTTTAAAAATTACAGATATTAAAGAACTTTTGAAGTCACATTTTTCCCACACATTAAAAATATTTAATTAGATTCCAAATGCAATGGCACATGCCTGTAATCAAAGAGACTCAGGAGACTTAAACAGGAGGATCCCAAGTTCAAGGCCAGCCTCAGCAATTCAGCAAGACCCTGTCTCAAAATTAATCCACACCTAGGTTTAATCTCCAGTACCAGAAATGTTTAATTAGAAAGACACTATATCATCTATAAACACATTAACTTCCAAATTAGCTAAAACCCATTTTTTACCTTAAGATAAGAGGAACTGGATTTGGGATTTTTTTCCTGGTAGGTCAGCTCAGTGATGTTCAATTATAAGTTGTAAACAATTACTGGGTTATAAAATCAGTGACAGTAGTGCTTTTTAAAGAAATGTAATAGAATAGAAAACACTGGAATGCAACTCTCATGAAAAGAGTAAGTATTGCTTCTGAAACTTTTGCTTCATTTAAAAAAAAAAAACCACACATATATACACACATATGTACTGAGTCACCATGTTAGATGTATTTCTTACTATGGGTTGCATTAATTTTTTAAAAATATATTGTTTTAGTTGTAGATGAACACAATACCTTTATTTTATTTACTTAGGTGGTGCTGAGGATTGAACCCAGTGCCTCACACGTGCTAGGCAAGTGCTTTACCACTGAGCCACAGCCACAGCCAAACATTAAGTCTTTTAAAGGTTTAAAAAAAACAGGTCAGATGACAACAAAAGGAGCTGTAATCCACGTTTCTTTGGAATAAAACACCAGTGTTGTTCCAATGTGCTGGATATGAAATTGTGTGGTATGAGGAAGGAACCAAATGAGATCAGGTGGGGTTCAGAGCTATGCTTTGCTGGGTACCAGTGACACAAATAAGAAATATTTTGCTTCCTGTTTTGTCCAAATTTAAGATTCCACAGAAATTATTTTGGAAGCTTTCTTACTTCTTTTATATATGTCACAGAGACTACACTATGCTAACATATACTGGGAAAAAAATAGCAAATTAGCCTATTGTGGTATTGTTGACACTTCTGTAATTTGATAAAGATGAAACTTTTCAGCTTTCACACACACACACACACCCATTTTTGTGGTGCTGGGAAGGGAAACCAGGGCTTTGCACGTGCTAGGCAAGTACTGTACCACTGAGGTATCATTCCCAGCCCTAGCTTCAGCCTTGAGCCCCAGTTAATGAAGGTGTTTGAGTATCTACATCCCTGGCAAGCCAGAGCAGGGAATTAAGTCCATAACCCCTTTCCTGTACTAGTAGAGCCATTTAAGGCAAGGCAATTAGCCCTAAGAACACAAAGGCAAAGAGAAATACAATTCATGAACCTTTTTTTTACCTAACAAGGTACTTTGGACAAGCTCCATCTCTCTTTAAAACATATACAAACTGAATGGATTCTTCTCTAACACAAGTGACTCACATTTATTCTAACACTCTACATGTAACTAACCTCGGAGAGCATTAATCCTATTGGGGTTAAGGGCACACATGCCACGCCCCACACTGCCATAGACATTACTTCTGATCAGCACTTCTTCTGTGAACAGGTTGCGAATAAGGTATCTGGCTGACAACTCTGGGCGAGGCTTGGCTCTTGCCACCTCCATTACTGAATGTGGTATCTGTATATTTCTAGATGGATTTCCAAAATATCCTAGAAGCAAAAGAAAACAATGTCAATTTCCATGGCAGATGTTAGGTTGCATTTATTTTAAAAGGCTCTGAAAGAAAGTGATTTTTCTAAAATTTTTGGCTCAAGCATTTGAGGGGTTAAAAGAATTAAAGCCTTGGGCTAGGGCTGTAGCTCAGTGGTACAGCACTTGCCTAGCATGTTTGAGGTACTGGGTTTGATCCACATAAAAATAAGCCACCACATAAAAATAAACAAATAAGCTAGGCACAGGAATGCAAGCCTTTAAACCCAGCAGCTCAGGAGGCTGAGGCAGGAGATCACGAGTTCAAAGCCAGTCTCAGCAATGGCAAGGTAAGGCAACTCAGTGAGACCTTGTGTCTAAATAAAATACAAAAAGGGCTGGGAATATGGCTCAGTGGTTGAGTGCCCCTGAGTTCAATTCCCAGTACCCCCACTCCAAAAAAAGTCAACAAACTGCAGATTTAGATATTTTTTTTTTTAAAGAGAGAGTGAGAGAGGAGGGAGGGAGGGAGGGAGAGAGAGAGAGAGAGAATTTTTTTAATATTTATTTTTTAGTTCTCGGCAGACACAACATCTTTGTTGGTATGTGGTGCTGAGGATCNAACATCTTTGTTGGTATGTGGTGCTGAGGATCGAACCCGGGCCGCACGCATGCCAGGCGAGCGTGCTACCGCTTGAGCCACATCCCCAGCCCAGATTTAGATATCTTAAGAAGTAAGTTAAGCTTACTTTTATTTTACTCTATATCTTAATTGTCATCATTTCTTTACAGTTCATAGTGATTAAAATTTAATGTTCTAATTTGCATAAAATACAGAATTATTTGTTGATGAAAACATATTAGAGAAATATTAGAGAAATATTCTTACAAGACAACAAGCATGTTTTTATCTTGGAACATCTGTCATTTAATAGGTGGCTGTATAAATTGTTAAATCATCCAGATTCAACATACAGCAAGAGAGATTATTTAGAAACTCACTCAGTGGGTCCAAGGACTTAACTCTGGAAGATTAACCTACTAATATTTATCAAGGGTCAGAAATAAAGTTAATACTTTAACCTAATAATTCAATTTCTAAGAACCTAAGAAGATAATCTAAATTATTAAAAAAAAAGTCACCCAAATGAAGATAAATTTTTTTGTAATGTGATTGATGATCTATTTCCCCAAAACCCTCAAACCAAAAAACAAAGAGGGAATTAGATAAACACACTGGGATAATTAACTCAATTGACTGTCTTAAACTTACTAAGAGCAATGATTATGAAGAGTATAGAATCTTGAGAAAAAATATATACATATCATGTTAGAGGGCAATTATATATAGAAACCATAATGTTTAAAATGCTCATAAGAAAAAGAAAATGTAAATGGCCACAAATAGTTTTTTAAGGTATGTTAATCATGAGAGCTTTTTTACCCCCCTTTTAAATAGTTTCCAATTTTTAAAAATAGGATAGTATAACAACCTCACACAATCTGTGGTGGCTAACTTTCTTACAATGCACTTAGTTGCCCTATTCCCTGTTATAGTAAATTCAGGGTTAGAGACCCTACAACCCAAGCTTCCAAACTGAGATCCTTTATCTTTCTCAAAAGTTTGGGGCCACTCTGGATCCTGCCTACCAGAAGCTCAGTCATAGAAAAAAGAACAGATAAAAAAATTTTAAAAAGAAGCTCAGTCATTTTTCACTTCTTTAAATATAAGAGCTAATTGTCAGATGATTTTTATTATTTAATTTAGCTAGTCTGGACAGAGTAGATTAAAAAACAAGACCCAAATATATGTTGTTTGCAAGAGATTCATCTTACAGGCAAAGGCATCCACAGGTGTTTCAAAGTTATCCCACAGGGAAAGGATAGAAAAATATATTCCATACAAATGGAGACAGAAAATAAGCAGGTGTAGCTACTCTCAAATCTGACAAAAAAGACTTCAAGCCAAAATTAATCGTAAGACACAAAGAAGGTCACTTCATACTGGTAAAGAAAATAATCCAATAACATGAAATAATGACAGTATCTAATCCCCAAATGTCAGTGCATCTAATTATATTAAAAATACTACTCATATAAAGACTCAAATGGCTACTTTCATGTAAAACTGAAAAGAACAAATTAAAATGCAAAAAAAAAGTACTGAAATATTGCAAAGAAAGAAAGAATATAGTATTTCTCACCACCAGTGAAATTTCACATCCTATAAACCACAAGAATGGGATCCCAATTAGAATACATGATACTCCAGGTGTGTATAATACGTCAATATACACTCTACTGTCATGTACAAAAAAAAAGAAAAAAATTTATTGTTTTTTTTTATTTGTCAATGGACCTTTATTTTATTTGTTTATATGTGGTGCTGAGAATTGAACCCAGTGCCTCATACGTGCTAGGCAAGTGCTTTACCACTGAGCCACAACTCCAGACCCATGGAACAAATTTTAACAAAGAAAAAAAAGACTCAGATGGATCCCAATACAATAAAACTAGGGAATTTCATCACATCTCTCTTACAGATAGATAATCCAGACACAAAATCAGTAAAGACTCTTCAGGCCTAAAAAATATTATCAATCAAATGGGAACTAACAGACATTTATAGAGTATTTCAACCAACAATAGTTCAACTTACTTTCTTCTCAGCTGCTTATGGAAACTTCTCCAAAATAAATGATATTTTAGGATACAAAACAAGTCTCAGTAAATACTAAAAATTATATAATTGCTTGTATCTTATTAGATGATAATAGAATAAAATTAGAAATCAACAGAAAGAAAAAATGTAGGAATTACATAAATACATAGAGAAAGAATAATACACTTTTGAACAATGACTAGATATAGAGGAAATAAGGGAGAAATTTTAAAATTTTTAGAATCAAATAAGAATAGAGAGTCAATATATCAGGATCTCTGAGACACAATGAAGGTGGTTTTAAGAGGTAACTTTATAGCTATACATAACATAGTGCCTATTATTTAAAAAATCAAAAAGAACTGAGCTAGGTGTTATACACATGGAATCCCAGAGACTCAGAAGTCTGAGGCAGGATAATTCTAAGTTCAAGGCCAGCCTTAGCAATTTAGTGAGAGATCCTGTCTCAAAACAAAAAAATACAATAAAATAAAAAGGACTAGGAATGTAGCTCAGTGGTAAAGTGTTCCTGGAATCAATCCTCAATACGAAAACAAATGAACAAACAAAAACAGAAAAATTCCCAAATAAATAACCCTCAGTAGAATACTACCTGGGATTTTGTTCAGACAGAACTATTGAAGTGATATATATTTATATTCTGTTTTTTCCATTATAATAGTACTCTAACTGCTGTATTTGTTAAGGTTGTGTACTGTGGAAACAGACTGATTAAACCTTTTAAAAAATTTTAATTGGTGATTATGATTATATACATAATAGTGGGATTCATCATTACTTATTTGTACATGCACATAACATAATTTGATCAATTTCACTCCCTAGCACCTGCCCTATTCTTCTCCATCTCCCTTACCCTGATCTCCTTCCTCAACTCTACTGGTCTCCCTTCTATTTTCCTGAGGTTCCTTTTTTTTTTTTTTTTTTGGTGGTACAGGGAACAAAACCCAGGGCCTCACACATACCAGGCAAGTGCTCTACCACTGAGCCACACCCAGAGCCCCTGAGGTTCCTTTTATAAAATACTTTTTCCTCTCTAGATTCCACATATGAGAGATAACATACAATCCTTGACTTTCTGGCTTATTTCGCTTAACACTGTGCTGTCCAGTTCCATCCATTTCCCTGCAAATGATATCATTTTGTTGTTCTTTACGGCTGAATAAAACTCCATTGTATATATAACATTTTCTTTATCTCTCTGTTGATTGACATCTAGGCTGGTTTCATAACTTTGGTCATTGTGAATTGTAAACATGAATATGCACAGTATGCTGACTTTTTAGGGGGAAAATGCTGAGAAGTGATTATTGCTGGATCATATAGTGGTTCCATTCCTAGTCTTTCAGTTTTTTTTTTTTTTCTTTTGGCAGTGCTGGGGATTGAACCCAGGGTCTCATGCATGCTAGGCAAGCACTCTGCCACTGAGCCACATCCCCAGACCCTCATTTCTAATCTTTTGAGGAATCTCCATACTGATTTCCCATAGAGGTTGTACCAATTTACAATCCCACCAGTGTTCCTTTCCCCCACATCCTCACCAGCATTTTTTATGATTTGTGTTCATGATGATGTCTCATCCAAGAGCTTACACTAGTCAAAAGTCAGCAAAGGGCTGCTCTCCACAAGAAAAGTAAGAAATTAAGCTTAATGTTAAAAAATTATCAGTTTTAGATCTAAGCATCTCTATTTCATTAGCTCATTAATCCAACATTTGAAATTCACACAGTGCTTCAGGAGAACCAGTGTACTATATCAATGCCTTCAGAGTTAGCATTACTGTTCTGCTCAGAATTCCCATTATCTCTTGTTTCTGAGGCAGTTATCTGCTGAAGCAACTGAGAACTGCCCTTGCCACCATCACCATTCCTTCCATCATTCAAGTTTGCAGACGCTGGTATATTGGGGTTGGCAGGGTCTTTATTTTTGTCGACAGTTTTGGTATCTATAAACCAAGTCCCACAGGTAAGAAATATGTACATCTGCCAACTTCTACCAGGCCCCCTAGGTTAATAGGGAAGCAACTACCTCTAAAAAGGTGGGCTGACACCATATGAATACTGTGTGCCTCAATACTATCTGAAAGGAAACTGAGGTGTGGATTCTCCCTTGACTTGATTCTCCCATGACTCCCTGTTCTCAGGGGACTTGTTAGCTCTGTCTAATGGAATGAACAATAACTGCTGGCACAAAATAAATATGAGATATTATTTATTCCATAAATTAACAAGTAAATGTGCTTCTTAGGGATGACAACTTTTGGGCTTTCTTCTTTTTGTTGTTGTTTTGGTTTGGTTTTGGGTGGGGGGCTGCTTTTAATGCTTTGTTTTCTCTTTCCCTGGTAGCTTTAAAATCTGGCTGTACATCTGAATTACCCTAGGGATCTTTTCTCAAAAAGCAAATGTGCTGGGTCTGACCCTTGACAAATTAAACCAGAATCTCTGGTGGTAGGCAAGGGGAGCTCAGACATGAGAAACATTTTTTAAAAGTGTCTCCTGTGTTTCTAATACACACCAAGGGCAGGAACTACTGCTTAGGTTAAAGTTTCTCAAACTTCAGTATGCTCACAAATCACATGGGGGTGGTTATCATGCTAAAATACAAATTCTGCCTCAGTGAATATGATGTAGAACCCAAGCCCACACTTTTTACTTTTTTTTGCTGCTGCTGTTGGGCTGTGGACCCACATTGAGAGGCAAGGACCTATCTGGTCTCTTGTCTAGCATACAGCAGGCACCTGGCAGATGCTGATTCTCTTCTGATGCCTAAGCAAATATGCAAATTACCATTTTCCAGGCAGTATCTTAATTTTATATGCAAATTGGTTAGGGTGCAGTTTTTGAAGGCTATAAAATGGAATGTTAAAAATAAGCAGATCTGGTTTCAGACAGATGGTGCTTGAGCTATCACTGAAATCAAGCCGTTTACCAGGAAAACATAAGCTCAGCTACAAATATTCTTGGAAAATAGTTTCCATCAACTTACACTAGAGGGACAGAAGTGACTGTAGACACGGTAAGAATAAAGTAGGTATTTCAGAGAGGTTAGTGGAAATTAGGAATTGTCACTAAGTTAAATGCTTCATCAGGAAAAGTCAATAGATATGACACTCTTCTCTAATGGCCCATTTAGGGTAAAAATAAATCTCTAATGGACTTTGAAGACAGAATGGATGAGAAAGAAACCAGGTTCCTGTTACTATATAAGTATACAGGGTATTAAATATCTGTGATACTTTAACCTCATGACATGAATTATTTTCATTGGGGTACTCCATTCCTGGAAATGAACAATTAAGGAAGGGCCTGCATTTTCTCCTGTGCAATCCTTAGCCACCACTGAAATATCCAAGAAACACACAGCTGGCTTTTCTTTGTTACTCAGTGAGATACTGAAAATGATTTGCTAACATTTTTGTAGCTGAAACTTTTTTTTAGTATAGCCCTTAGCTTCAAATGTCCTAATTATAACATTACACTTATCTTTAAGTTATTTTATGGCATATAAATATCAAATAACAAAATAAACAGGCAGTATGCTTTTGGAAGAACATCTCCTGCTCGCTAAACGAAGTAAACAAGATGTCTAACACATGGCCTGAAGACCCTGTGCATAGTGCTATCAGTTCTGGAGTTGTATACAGCATGAACTTACGTAGCAGTCACCATATTTAGATGAAAAATTACTTACTGAAGTTCCTTTGGCTTCAGAATGCAAATAACGGATCAGAGAACTGATATCAGAAAGACAATATTTCCAATCTTTTCCATATTCACTGAAATCATAGTTGGGGAAAGTTGCTGCCAAATATTCTGCAAACCGCAGAAAGTATTTGTAAAAATTAGAAATGAAATTAACATAGAGGTGAATAAAAATTTTTCTTTGGAATGAATATGGACTTTTCTCTTCCTGTCATTCTTTTCTCTACCTCTAAGAGTTTAGAAGTTCTACCCAATGAGGATGCTTTGTTGATTTATCTCATTTCTTCTAGTGTGAGGGCTCCTAAAACACTGACCTGGGGTGTCAATGCTGAGGTCTTTGTGTTTTAGAAAAAAAAAAAAGTGGGCTGGAGTTGTGGCTCAGTGGCAGAGCGCTTGCCTCGCACATGTGAAGCACTGGGTTCCATCCTCAGCACCACATAAAAATAAATAAACAAAATAAAGATATTTTGCTGAGAGCCATAGCCAAGTCCAAATGATGCATGGCATTTTTGCCAGAACGGAGTGGTTTGAGAGGTGACGCCAGCAAGCCATTGAGATGATAATGGTTATGTTAAGCTGTGTGTATTAGACCCCTACTGTCCGCCTGGGCCCCTGTAGGTGGTTCGGGAGAGTTCCCGTGGAGCATGTGTGGAGTGTGCTGGTGGAGTTCAGAAATAAAGTTTGTTCCTGCTTCAGTGGCTCGTGATTTGTGCCCAGCCAGACTGCGGCAATATTTCTTAAAAAGTGTCATTATACTGAGACCATTTAATAACCCAATGGATAAGTTAGAACTTTAAAAAAGGCAATCTGTAAAGAAACAATAGTGCCATTGCAAACATTATAGCACGTGGTTTATTTACATTATTTACCAGGTCTATCTTCTCTGTAAGTTATTCCCTCTATTAAAAACAGCCCTCCTATGCCCTTCTAGCCAAAGAATTCAGAATCTAGCTCAAATGCCTGTCCTTAGCAGAGCCTCCCCAGACTCCCTTAAAGCAGTTGCTCTGTTCTTTCAGCTTCCTCAACACCACCACACTGGACTGGAATTTATCTGTTGCCATCAATGTGCCTCCTTCTAGACTGTGAGCTCCTTGCAGGTAGAATATTTCTTCCTTGTGGTGTCCTCAGTGCCTATAAGTTCCAGGACCTCAATACAGATTTCTGTAATGCAGGATTGGATTAATCATGAGATCCTCTTTCGGTGTGGCCAATAGCAAGCAATGAAAAGCCTCGTTTTGATTCTTTATTAATTTGGCTTTTCCTTTACTTTTTAAATATATAGTTATTTTATTTACTTATTTATATGTGGTGCTGAGAATTGAATCTAGTGACTCACACATGCCAGGCAAGTGCTCTACCACTGAGCTACAACCCCAGCCCTTCCTTTATTTTTTGATAACAATTTTCCATGCTAAAAATCTAATTTATTAATCATTGTAAGCAACAATAATCAATTAGGCTTGCCTTAGTCCACCAGTCTATGGACAGGTTTTATTCTTTAGAAGTTTTTACCCATTACCCATTAAATTGTAAAATCACTGTCAGAGCTGTCTTCCATACTGGTTTCTGCTTTTACCAATATTACTATACATAAAAGGGCTAAAAGAGCTCTTCAATACAAATTCTATATCCAGCTAGAACTGTTCTTCAGGCATAAAGGGAAATAAACATTCTCAGACAAAAAAAAAACTTTTAAGTATTTTTCACCAAAATTTCTACTCTTAAAGAATGACTAAAGGAAAATCTTGAAACAGAAAGATTTTGATCATAGTAGGAATCATGGAGCATCAAGAAGGAAGAAAGGGTAGAAAGAGAGGAGAAATATGCTTGTAGAGAAATCAGATCGATCATACTTTGCTTGGAGAGATGTAAAAATGGAACAGCCACACTGGAAAATAGTTTGGCAGTCTCTTTAAAAAAAAAAACCAAACCTGCAATTACCACATAACCCAGTAATTTCACTCCTGGGCATTTATCCCAAAGAAATAAAAGTTCATGTTGACACAAAAACTAGCACATGAGTGCTCTTAGCAGCTTTGTGGGGTTTGTTTTGTTTTGCTTTGTTTTTGTAGTATTGAGGGTTGAACTCAGGACCTCACACATGCTAGGCAAGTGCTCTACCACTGAGCTACATCCCCAGCCCTTTTTTATTTTGAGACAGGGTCACACCAAGTTGCTCAAGCTGGCCTCAAACTTGTAATCCTGCCTCTGCCTCACGAGTTTTATGTTTTATTTGTTATAGCCAAAAACTGAAAACAGCCTGAGCATCCTTCAACAAGTAAATGGTTAAACAAACTGCAGTAAATCTATACCATTGAATACTACTCAGCAACAGGAAGAAAGAGCAGAAATATAAATAAATACAAAACTATCATGAGTTTTCTAAATCATGCCAGATGACTGAAACCAAAATAAAAACTCTGATACCTAAGACAATAATATTTAAAAGTGGGGGAAGGCATAGGATTCTATGAAGAATTAAAGTTTCAACACTTCACTCTAAATGGTAAATTGTTGGTACCAACAGACTGTGAGAAGTCACATATGTATATAGTAACCTAGACAACCCCTGGGAAAATTCACAAAACAATACACTCAAAAATCATAATCAAATCAAGATGGGATACTAAAAAATTTTAAAAGTAACCCACTGGAAGGAAAGAAAGAGAATGAGAGCAATGAAAAAACAGAGGAAAGAAACAGAAAAATGATAAAATGAAAAACTTAAACCTTACAACATCAATAATTACCTTAAAAGCAAATTATCTGGGGGCTGGGACTATGGTTCAGTGGTAGAGCGCTCACCTAGCACGTGCAAGGCGCTGGGTTCAATCCTCAGCACCACATAAAAATAAATAAATAAAATAAAGATATTATGTCCAACTTACAAATAAAAACAATTTTTTAAAAAGCAAATGGTCTGAACACACCAATTAAAGGGCAATTTTTAACAAAGTAAATTAAAAAAAAAAAAAAGATGTGGGGCTGGAGCTGAGCGGTAGTGCACTTTCCTGGCATGTGTGAGGCACTGGATTCAATTCTCAGCACCATAAATAAATAAATAAATAATAAATAAAAGTCTATCAACAACTAAAAAAATTTCAAAAAAAAAAAAAAAAAGATGTAACGGGGATGGGTGAATAGCTCAGTCATAGAGTGCTTGCCTAGCATGCATGAGACCATGAGTTTGATCCCCAGTACCCCCCCACCAAAATGTCATAACTATATGCTATTTACAAGCTCTACAAATTCAATGACATAAGTAAGTTAAAAGTAAAAGAATAAAAGATATACACCATGTAAACACTAATACAACAAGGAAGCAGGCTAGTTATATAGGTAGCAGATAACTACAGAGGAAGAATATATAACAATAAAACTATTAACCTCTAGGAAGTCATAATAACCCTAGTGTTTACATACATAACAGTCTCAAATTACACAAAGCAAAAACTGACAAATCCACAATTATAGTTGAAGACCTCAACACATGCTTGTAGAAAATGATGGAAGAACTAGACAGAAAAACATAAACGTAGATTAGCAGAATGGATTAAAAAAGATCCAACCATATACTGTTTGCAAGAGACTCATCTCATAGGCAAAGACTCACAGACTCAAGGTCAAAGGATAGATAAAAGTATTCTAAGCAAATGGAATCCATGAACAAGCTGGAGGAAGATATTCTCACATCTGACAAAGTTGGTTTCAAGCAAAATAAATCAAAGGAGATGAAAAAGGCCACTACATTCTGGTAAAGAGAACAATCCAACAAGAAAATATAATGATAGTAAGTGTATATGCCTCCCTCAAGTATTAGCATATCCAATTACATTGAAAAAATACTCCTTGATATTAAATCCCAGATGACAACACAATAATACTGAGTGATTTCAACATACTTTATCACCAACAGAAAGATCATCAAAGCATAAAAATCAATAAAGATGTATCTGACCTCCATACCAGGATAAATCAAATGGACATAAAGACATCTACATAATATTTCACCCCCAAACAGCCAAATTTACCTTCTTATCAGCAGCAGATGGACTTTTTTCCAAACAGACCATATTCTAGGTCACAATGTAAGCCTTAACAAATACAAAAAAATGAATATAATCCCATGCATTCTATCAGACCATGCATTCGATCTACTGGAATGAAACTAGAAATCAACAGCAAGAAAAATAATAGAAACCACATAAACATAAGGAGATTAAACAATACTCATTTAAATGAAGAATAGATCAAAGAAGAAATGAGAGAAAAAAAAAGAAATTCTTAGAAATAAATGAAAACAAAGATAAAACATATGGGACAGTAGAAAGCAGTACTGAAAGGAAAATTTATTACACTGAGTGCTGTTTTAGTCAGCTTTTTTGCTGCTGTGACTAAAGGATCTGACCAGAGCAACATAGAGGAGGAAAAGTTTATTTGAAGGCTCACAGTTTCAGAGGTCTTAGTCCATAGAAGGCTGGCTCCATTCCTTAGGGCTCGAAGTGAGGTAGAACATCATGGCTGAAGAGCATGGTAGAGGGAAGCAGCCCACATGGTCATCCTGAAGCAGAGAGTCTCCACTCTCCAGATACAAAATATACACCCCAAAGCCAAGCTCCAATTCCCACCTCCTCCAGCTACACTTCAATTACCACTCAGTTCATGCCTATCAGGGGATTAATTCACTAGTTGGGTTAAGACTCTCACACCCAGTTATTTCTCCTCTGAACCCTCCTGCATTGTCTCACATTTGAGCTTTTGTGGGACACCACATTTAAACCATAACAAGTGACTACACTAAAAAAGGCAGATTCCGGACTGGGGCCATAGCTCAGAGGTAGAGCACTTGTCTAGCATGTGGGGGCACTGGGTTCGATTCTCAGCACCACATATAAATAAATACAGATCCATCAACAACAAAAAAATATTTTTTAAAAAAAAGGCAGATCCCAAATAAATAAACTGATGTTCTAACTCAAGGGCTTAGAAAAAGGGTAAACTGACTCTAAAATCAGTAAGAGATAGGAAATAATAAAGATCAAAGCCCAAAATAATGAAATAAGAGTAAAATAAAATAATACAAAGGATCGATGCAACAAAGAGGTGGTTCT